CAGTTTGCTTTAAATATACCACAAATTATACTTTATTTGTTCTTGACAACATTGTAGAAAACAAAGGCTAGGTTTTTTAAACTGTCTCACCAATATGATGAATGTCAGTCACTTAAAAAAAAACCCACTGTAGCATAAACACATACTGTATACAGCTTTTATTCAGAATTAGAATAATTGAATCAATGACAGTGATTTGCCAGGATGTCAAATCTCTCCATCATATCCTGTCACTACCAGTTTATTTTTTGTGATCAAAATCAAAAAGACAACTATTTTGTCACCCGCTATTTCATTAGTACTAAAAATCAGGTTTCTTCTATTTTTTTAGAGTGTCTGGTTTATTTTTTTCACTTCTTTTAATTCTAAAGACACAAATTCTTCCCCATTTTCTTTTCAAAATAAAATTTCAGAATTGATCTGTCAGTTAAAATTAAAGGGCTTTTATATTAAGCAAAGATGCTTTTAAAATTTAAAGCAACTTCGAAAAATCAGTATAGTCCATAGATAACAAATAATGTGCAGATACTCCACAAAAGCTTTGTTATGTCCTTTGAAAGCATTATGAACAGTGTGAATAACTTCAAATGAATATTTTAGTAGGGTTATTATTTTAATAACTCTTAACCTTTTTCTTACCGTGTTGTGATTCATTTTATACAAACACACAACAGAACGATTACATAGCATTTGACTCTGAAAAGGAAATGTGAGGTCATCAGATATGTAAATTGCTTGTCAAAAATACTTAATAGGTCATTGATTTACTACCCTGGCTACTACCAAGTCTATAAAATTAACACCCCATTACTAGTTAATATATGCTTTAGAAATAGATAAATACTATAAAAATTGGATGTGCATATTTGAACCCTTATTTTAAATATAAAAGAAACTTAAAACTCAGTAAAAGTGCATTTTGAAAAATAATAGTACCTGGGCTTTCCAAAAATCAGATCCAAGTGTTTTGTTGCTCTGATTCACTAGGCATCACTTATTGTAAAAATAAGCTACTGGAGAGGGATGTATATTTTTTGTCTTCCTCCCATAAAAGCCCACACTAAAAATATGTTTTTTCCTTCTGAGAACATCATCAATTATCCAGCTGCTAATAACTCACTACATAAAAAAATTGACTTTCAATAATGCTACTATAGGACTACAGGCCATTTTGATACATTATGGAATATATACTGTATTAACACACATTTTTTCAGTTCTCAGCTTTTTGCAAAGATACAAATATGAAGGTGACAATGCCAAACATAGTACTTGAAATGTCCTCATATCTTTTAAATGTTTCTAAAACTTCAAGACCCTATGTGGTATTCACTTCTTATGCTACATTTGCCTTTCTTTAACATGAGGCAAATATTTTGACTATTGCATTCTACTCAGGTGCTGGACTTCCAAGACCTTCTAAATTTCTTTTTAGCAGCCACTAATTTTCACTTTTCCTTTCTTCCATTTATTCTTTATCTCCACCTCCAAGATCTGCAAATACTAACACTAGACAAAATAACTACTTCAAAAGGAGCAACACTCTTATCAATTCCGTATCTTTAAATTTTAAAGAATCAGATACAAACATACAAAAGGAAAGGGGGGGGACCCTATTCATTTGTTTAAACCTATTATGAATGTCATTTCTAAAACATCGTGTAATGTTTTCCAAAGATAGGCACCATCAATGCCATCAAATTTAAGCAATACTAACTCTAAGTACTTAGAGTTGAAGTTTAAAACTGGTTAGTGAAGTCATTTGTGACCAACGTAGGAAAAAAAAATGATGAGATTTATTCTTGAGAAACCTAAGAATTTGTATTTGGCCTTGGTGAGTCAAACATACAGAGAAGAAAACATTTTTGTTTTGTTTTGTTTTTTAATCTTGTCAACATTAAGGCCCAGAGCAAAAAGAAACAAGAGAAGAATATAGACATCATCTTAAGATGACAAAAATTCACAGAACAAATTGAACCTTAAAATTATACTATATAAATGAATGTTAGGAAACCTTGTTATGATTTTTTTTTAAGTGGGAAGAAATGATTGTGAGTCATAAGAGGAAGCCAAGTTGCATACCATTTAAGAGTTAGGAGGCACAGCTTTGGGGGGAAAATATTCTGGGAATTTCATTATAGTAAGAAGCATTGGTTTAACTGAGAGTAATCTGAATCTTTCTTACTCAGACATTCAGTTACAATTCTGTTCCCCTGGTCTCCGTAAGTCATCAAGTTTGGAGAAAAATCATAGGCTATTTATTAGTCTTGTGATTCTACTGAGGATATCACAGATAGAAGGTCACCATCATAGAAAATCACATCAAAGCATCCCTGCAGAATCCCCACTGGTAAATATATACCTATCAGTAAATAAACACAAATAAATTATTTCAGCAGTGAGTAAAAGGCCACCTCCTGGGCACTGCCTCCACACAGTGTCACGCTGTCCCTGGGAGAGGCCCTGGAGCACCATTCAGAAGGAAGCGCCCGTCCCTAAGGCAAGGGCAGAAGGCGAGGCAGCCGGTCCATCCTGCAAGACCAGAGGGCTTCTGCAGCTGAGCAGCCGCTCTTCAGACTCAAGCGGACTGTGCCACAGTGCCCTGGCAGTGCTGACTCTCAGAGGGCATGTACACATACCCAAGTGCACATATACAGACCATCCACTTCCACAACACTCCCCTTCCCCCATTCCCAGCTCCTGCTCCCAAAGTGCCACACCCAGTTCTCCAATGTCTGTGCCTCTACACAATAGAGCCCTGGGCCAGCACTAGCTGCCTGACCAAGGCCCAAATCAGAGCCAGTTGGAAATTCCCTTCTTGGGGGGAAAAGTCAGCCAGCCAGCAGCTGCAGCACACACTGCACATAGCCCTTCTGTGATAGTTCCCCAGGCACACATCCCTCAGGGACTGTAGGCTGCAAAATGTCAGGAGGTAAAAATATCTGCATGGGTAACTGTACTGACAGTACATATGTGTGCACACTCTGCAAAGCATGCAAGCATACAGTGCAGACGCATTAAATAAAACACGCGAACACAGGAAAACTAATCAGCCTAGGAAGGTGTCTCTAAATGTGCAGCAGTTCTGATGGAATAAAATTATGAATATCAGCATGCTGGAGAAATGATTCACAATTATTTGTTCACAAGTAATTCCTTAATTAGAAAATAGATGTTGAGCTAGAAAGTTAATTTTCATGGCTTCCAATTATTTTCTGTATTTCTGATCATTTGCCTTTGGGACTTAACCCACCCCATCCGCCCACCCCCCAAAAAAAGAGCAGAGTACAATTCCATGGAAGTGTGTCTTTGTCCCCAGAGGTGTCTGCCTGTGCAAGCATTTACTCTCGACTGCTCCTACCCCTGGCCATTGACTGAAGTTTGCAGAAGAAAACTTCTATGTTGACTTATATGTTGCACAGACAGACAGAAATAAAAGTCTCAGACAGGCCTTTTTTACCCAACAAAGGAGGCTTATTTTTTTCCATTCTTTACTTGGGCTCAAGCACTCCTGCCCTGCGTGCCGCCACTTTAAACATGATCAGATCTGTGCTTCATTGCAAATAACAACTGACCAACAATAGGCCCTGCTTCATAGATTTGGGGATGTTTGGCTTAAGCTGCCAATGACTGAAGGCCTTTAACTCCCACCGGCCAGTCACAGGCCGCTTTGTTGTTGTCTGTTGATGTGTCTGTGCTCATTATTCCTTGACATGCAACATCCCCCCTCCACCCTCCAACCATCCACACCACACAGAAAGCGAGATTCAAATGGGAACAGCTGTAGTGGTTCAATGGGAAATGATGCCTCTTGTGCAAAGGGGAGGGAGAGAGAAAAGGGAGAGGGCCTATCTGAGAAAGGGAACAGCTTTCAGAGTCTTGTATAAGAAATCTACTTCTGAATATACTTCAGAGAAATCGCTGTTGAAATAGGCTGACAGTGGAAATCTGTCCAGATTGAAAATGCCAACCCTAATTCAAAAGACAATTCCTAGTTAATAGCTTGTTGCATTTTTTTAATTATTTCTAGACTTTGAGCTTTTGAATGAAACAGCTTTCTGGGAAATGTTACCATTTTGTATATATGTTGTGGGTATAAATGGGCACAGGTCTATACACAGCTTTAAGCAGAATTTTTTCCCTAATATTTCTGATTTATGAAACAGGGAATTCTTTAAGGATCATCAGGATTTTAAATAGACTATGTATGAAAGTAACCATTGCTTTAGGATGTTCATCTAACATGGAAACAAAATTTGTAACACCACACTATAAGGTTAAAAAGCAAATAGTATAATAAAGGAAATACAAAGGCTTTGGCATGGTTTTTACAATCAACAATGGTTAATTTTGATATGTAGTTGTGAACAACTTCAAAACACTTACGTTTAAAACTCTTGCAAGCACTTTTAATTGTTTAGGAATGAATTCTAGATGCACAAAATGATTGGACTGTGAACAGTAATACAACTATATCTAAGAACAATTAACTTTGCTGGCCAAAAAAGAAACGTATGATTGCATGAAAATGTGTATAAAACATCTATAGAGTATCCTTGTCAAATATAAATGAAATTAACTTTATTATAGAAATCATTCTGAGGATTTCTAGGGAAGACAAATACTTACATTTTGACATAAAACAAATTGGATTTTATCGAAGACACACTCTACCTTTTAGCTATCAACTTTTTTCTTTCTTGAACTTATATCTTACCCTTTTTTGCACATAAACTTCATCTGTTAACAACCTTTGGAAAACCAACAGATATTTCTTACATAAATCTAGTGCATGTTGTTCCAGGTTTACTTATATGCAAAGGAATGATACAAACTTGGAACATCAGTCCATAAACTATGAACAGATGGGTAGAAGTATTTGATATATCTTGATAAAACTCTTAAATTTGTGGCAAAGCTTGTTGATCACTGTTTCCTTTTTTTAAACAACTTCATGACCAGCACAGATCAAACATCCATCCAGTCTACATTGTTCTTTTTTCTTTATAACATACAAATGCCCATTTACAAATAATACACCAAAATGAATAAAAGTTTGGATACCAAAATGAAGATTTGTTCCAACTGATATCGTGCCTTCTGTATACAAAGGTCCTTGTTTCAAATCCATTCCCCAGTGGTGCAATACAGGACACAATTGCAGAACTGAAGTGCTTCTAACAGCCATTTTTTCTTTCCTTCCTGAAAGCCCAACTGTTGTGTCCACATAGTCACTGACTGAATTAATACAATATATCCTTTCTTTTTTTTTTTTTACTGTAATCTTGGCCAATATTGAGACATATCAGGTTCACTTCCAGGAACTTGAACTGGAACTGACACACCAGGGGAAATGAGTCCTAGAAGTGGATGAAAGAGATAACCATGTAGATACTCCCTTTGCGAGACAGGCATGGAGTATGAATTTGTAGGTTAAAAAAAACTCAAATACTTTCTAACATTTTAGCTGTATTTTTTTAAATTTTCAAGTCTTACAAAGAAAAGCAGCACCTTCAGAAACCAGCTCACCTGTTTACACATATCTATTGAAGCCCAAGTCCTCCCACTCAAAAGAAAAGGAAAAAACCTCCATTTGTTTGTATGTTTGGAACTTGACCAAGAGAGCTATCTCTGGACAACCAACATGGTACTTTTCAGCCACACTGAAAGGCATAAAGTCCTGGAGGAGCTACGTGGGTGGGAAGTCTTCCAACAAGCTCTCACCGTGCAGCTCAAAATGCTTGGTGAGCTTTGGCTAATCTCTCCTCAGAAAATTTACATTCTCAAGCCTTGTCTTCATATACAACTTCTAGGGCAAAATTCAGGAAAAACAACTTTGCTTTTTGTTTATATGATGTCAAGTTATTATCTAGCTTGACTGAATTCCCCTTTGTAATTAGTTTTTCCCAGAGAAGCAAGCAACAAAGAGATAAACATTCTTTTTAGGTAACCTCTGAGTGAAGGGAGATCACCTGGCAGAATGAGCTGCACAGGCTGCCTCTGTGCAGCCTGCGGAGAGCGGAGGCTCACCTGTGGACGTGGTGCCCGTGGTGCCCATTGGCTGACTGCTCATGTGTGTCTGCATATGTGGGGGGGTGTAGGTGTCATAACTCCGACCGTTCACCGAGGGGCTGGTGGGCAGCATGCAGGAGTACGAGGAGGTCTGGCTGGGGACTGGGGGCTGAGAGGAGAAAGGCAAAGCTGTGGTTACTGAGAAACCCGCCATATAGCCACATGCCCTGGCTCCCCCCTCCCTGGGAGCTCTGCCAACAAGTCTCATGGCAAAGATGCCCTCAGGTAATGTGCTGGCACCCCTTAAGAGAACTCGACGATCAGCCTCCAAACAGTCCTTCCACCGGCCACAGCTGGAGTAAAGCTGCCTATGCACCAAACTTCTGAAAGTGTTATAAATTCAGACAACTGTTGAGCTAGACAGTTGGCACTATCCATAAAATTAATAGGATTTTGTCCATTTTCATCTTGGACCTCTGCTGGCATCTACAGAGAAGCTATAGTATGAGGACTACAGCAAAACACACACACCCTTCCCTAAAAATCCAATCTATTTGGGAATCCAGTGACCCCCAAATCCCACACCTCAAGCTTTGGGACATAAAACAGGGGGAGGAATGTCTTATAAAATGTGGTTTAGGGACCTTGGGAGCCTTTCATGGTTGGGCTCATGGGATTAAAGATTCTTTGAAGAGGCAGATCAGAAGTAATCTCAGATTAAAGTGGTCAGAAGAGTCCGTAAATGCCTAGCCTCATCCTGAGAATTAGCTGGGACTTCCCTAAAGACCCTAAAACTCAGGTTGTGTTTTAGCCATAAAATCATGCTGCTACCCTCTTAAGAGTCTGGAACGGTGATATTGAGGAGATAAACCTTTCTCATAACTAAATAAAAAACACAGAGCTAGGGCTAAACCCTTCATGAGCCCACAGGGGTTTATGCCAGGGCAGCAAGCTTGGAATGAATGAATAGAAGCGTAATGTCAAGAACGAGGGAGGTAAGAGTGTAATTCCACTCTGCAAACTTTAGACACATTTAGCATTCAAAGATCTATATTCTCAGAGAGGGTGACATGTTAGAAAAGGTTCAGAGGGAGACACCCACCCTTTATAAAATGGTTAAAGATTCTGGTTAATCAGGTGAATTGATAGACCAGCACTCTGGCACTCCCAAAATTCAAAGAGTAATTTTCTCTGAACAGTAGATTCATTGACAATTTTTATTTTCTTTATGCTATATATGAACACATATACATTTCTAATTATATGTTATGTCATTTTTTAAAGTCATTGAAATAACTTGACCCTGCATCAATCTATATGTGGAAACACTATAATAGAACAGCAGCATCTATTTAATAGTTTCCAGTTGTTTTCTCATATACACATTTTGCTATCCTCACAGAAACCTAGATATTGCTATAATTTACAAAACTGAAGAAGACACTCAGTGGCCTTATTAAAGTCAGCAGATGACTGCTAACATCAAGTTCAAAGAGGCAAGCAGGCCTTGAGGGCCCTGTCAGAATTTCAGCTTGCATTTGTTTCTAAATCCCTGAAATAACCTCCTCTAGGCAAACTGACTTCTGCAAAGTTCCAAGATAGTTGTAGTAACACCAATTAATGGACTGTTTTCTTACTTTACATTTGCACTATGGCCAATAATATCCAGATGCAATAAAAATAAATGTGAATAATTCTCTGAAGTTGCTTCTCTAACTGCTTCTGTATTAGTCTGAATGTTTCACTATTATTTGGATTAGAGATCCAGCAAAAGATGTTCAGTAGAGAATAAACAATCTGTGTAACCCCAGGACTGTTTCCAGCAGGGCTCAGGCTGACCAGTCTTATACCATCCAGCATTTCTCACTGTTGCACAAATAGGAGAGTCCTGGGAAAGTCACTGCAGAAAGGCCATCAGAAGACCAATTTTTTTTCCCATCAAGAACCCATCCAGCTCCAAATTCCAATCCACCCCACATAACTTACATAACTGCCATTATAAAGGGTTAACCTAGTACAGGACCTAGGGCATGTAGCAGCTGATAAATAACTGGGACAGAATTGAGAGCAGAGGCAGGGTATTATACCCAGAGAATAGCATCAACCCTCCCAGGCAGCTAGGGAGCACCACCAACTCACTACACAATTCACAGCACAGAGACACTAACTTTCTAGCAAATACCTCCTATTCCCTTTTTTATTTGCAAACTATAAAAAGAAAACTAGCCCCTCTTCTATGTTAAAGTGTACCCCAGTATGCAAATATCGATCCCATTCCTGATCTTTTTATCCTTCTTCACTAGTTTATCACACATATCCTAAATAATGTCCAAAATATATACACAGGATATATAGTCATTAATATGAACACACTAATATAAGTACAAATTTTATGTATACTAACACCTTACTATCTAATAATGTGCCAGCATTATTTCCATTTTCTGTTACAAGTTTCAAAACATGCCCCATTCCCACCGAACATTATCAAGCTAATATATCCTATAAGCAAAAGGCAAATTAACTGGACTGAACATCAGGTTTGGGTTTGTTTTTTTTTTTAAGGCATGGCTCAATCAGTCAATCAACTAAAAGACTGAATTGACTGCATCTCAGACTTGACTGGGCAAGCCGATCAGTGTAGTGAGCAGGGCTCCCCAGGGTGCATACACAGCCAGTGAGGTCTGTGGGCCCTGACCATCTCCTCCCTGCTTCTCCCAGGCGCCTGGTATGCAGGCGGCCGCCAGCCTCACTTACTTGCATAGGCAGATTATTGGCCATGGTGAAGCTGGGCATGGGTGGCAGAGCACTGTACGTGTTTGTGAGGGCTGTTTCTGTTCGCCCCAACATGGAGCCAGAGGTGAAGGAGGAAACTGCAGGGAGAGGGACACGACGTTAGGGAGAGAGTCAGAGAGCCAAGGGCAAACAGGTTAAAACACATTTCTTAGTAGTATTAATACTCCAAATTACCAGGCGTGGTGGGTTGCGGGATTGGCTGGTAGACACTGGTGCTGAAACTACTGCTGATGGGAATGTGACTAGGTGTGTTGCTAGCCTGTCTTCTCTGATTCCTCAATTTTTCTTCTCTTCTCCATTTGGCCCTTCGATTAGAAAACCATACCTGGAAATCAAATGGAACAGGTGAGCCTTGCACCGACTCCCAGCTCAGCCCCGGCAGTGGCACTTATGCCATCCAACCCCCGCCCCTCCCCCACAGCAGCCAGGTATGCAGCAGAATGAGTCTGTTAGCACTTAAATAAACCAACTGTGTTCCCCAGAAGCACCTTTGTCTCTAGAAAAGACAAATGATATGCGTCACAAAGCATGAAACCACAGTCTCTGGGTACCTGTATTCTTGCTTCAGGTAGGTCTATTTTGGCTGCTAGTCTTTCTCGGGCAAACACATCTGGATAATGGGTCCTCTCAAACTCTGAAAGAGTAAGCTGAGTTTTTGATGTTGTGCCAGATGACACACAGCGTGTCACCCAAGCCCTGGATCAAGCGGGTCCCCACCTCCCCACTTCCGTTGCCACCACCTGATTCCCTTTAAATTGTGACTACTGTTAGTTTGACTGTACGTACTTAGAACTGTCCCACCAGAACCAAGCTAAATTTTCTTTGGAATGACATTCATTTAAGGACCCTTCAAAAATGATTAGCCAAATCATTTTTTCTTTATGAGAAGTGAGACTTTAAGCCTTTGAATTACTGGTCCATGAAAAGAAGAAAGAAAACAGACACATACACACATACTGAGAAGATGCCCAGGGAGAAAAAAACAAAAAGATGGAAAGAAAAAAGAAAGCTTTTCAGTCCGCTATGCAAAGGGTCCTGGCTAAATTTAGCTCTTTGTACTGACGATGTGGCATTTAGTTTGATTTACTGCTTCTCTACTTTAAAAAACTCCATCACCTTTCTCCAGGGCCTCAATTTGCTCTTGGGTAAAAGATGTTCTATTTCTTTGCAGCTTCCGCTTCAGCTGAAGTCGCATTTGGGCCTCATCTGAATCTTCTCCGTTGGAGCTGATGGAGTTGGTATTCTCTCCCCCTCCTTCTTGTTGCTGGCAGCCATCTGGAACAAAAAGAATAGGACAGTATGAGAATTTGGAATAGCACGGAGCCTCCAAAAGGGGCTTGGAATAGCCATAAACTCCAAGAGCAATCTATTCAGACGATCTTGCCAAAACATTTCCAAGTGTCAGACTTCTTTTCATAAAAGGCATTAGTGACATAATGTTACCTGTCCACCATTTTCTGTTTTATCAACATGTGACTATGCAATATAGACATGGATAGAGTGACATTTTTTTTTCTGAATGACAAAACCAGCTCTGAAGTTTCCAATTAAAATGCTCTTTCATAACTAACCTTAATTCCCCAGATGCCTCACCCAGTTCCCTTGCCCTACAGAATTTTACCTATGGCTATGTTGGGAAAATAAAAGAGTGATGTTCGAGATTTCAGCTGATCTATAATCAGTAATTCCTATCGAATCAATTAGATGTTGATAGGTTTGTAGAAAATGCTATTAGGAAACCAAACCAAGCTTGTAATCTTTAAAAAAAAATATTTATCTAGTTTTTATTTGAATTCTGCACAGTCAATTTCATTTTAAAGGTTGTGAATTTAGAAGTGCTTGCATTGTTCTGCAGTTTTATTCAACTATTGTATGAGTGCGCTTTGCCTTGACACCTATTACGAGCACAGCTGTAATTATATCATCACCAAGAACAGGCTATAATTGCTGAAAATGGAATTTTATATTTAGATAAAAGGACTGTCCATTCTTTGTAATGTGTTGCACCAGAGAAAAGTAAGATTTCTTTTAAATTTTTAACGTATAATTTTAAAAAAGAAATAGTAGAGAGTTCACTAACTAGCTAAATATGCTATGCTGCAGCTGAATCCTTGGCATATCATTTAAGTAGTACATTTTTAATTAGGGCATTTCCACCACTTTTAATGTAATTTCTATCATTAAACAGGAGAAAGTTTTATTGTTTTCCCTTCCTGCTTGGAGGGCAAGATGTGCACTTGGGCAAGCTGTCTCTCCACTTGCACCTTGCTCCTGAGGCCACAGCCTGTCTGAAGGGAAGGATTCCACCCTGACCGGGCCGCCGGGGCCCAGCTGGGTCCTGGGCCTTGGGACCTATGTCCCCAAGGGATACCAACAGGGGCTGCCCCCACCCCCCCACCCCCATGTTAGAAGCTTGGCCAGTTGGGGGGAGGGGACTCTCCCAGCGCCTTGGTGGGAATCGACTTGGCCAGGAATATCATTTATAACCAGGAGACAATAGGCAGCGCCTTCAAAGAGTTCAGGGAATTGTGACAGGATCTAGTGGGATCTTTTCAGGAACTTTGAAATGTTTTAAAACCCCAACTTTCTTCCCCATTTAAACAGGCGGATTCATCGGCACTGGCCACCATATGGGCCCTTGGAGATCTATTGAGATGACCACCAACACTTGAATAGCGAGGGGCTGCTTTTCAGCACTGCACAATGCCCCGCGAGTAAGGGAAACTATTAAACTCCTGGGGCAGGAGCGTTGGCAAACTTTCGTGGGCAGAATTTTGAGGCCACAATGAACGCGGACAACAAAAGGATTCTCTTGAGGCGTGCAGCGGGCCACATTGTGTTACAAGAAGCCCAGTCAACAGACTTTTCAGTGAAGTGTGTTAACCCCTCTGCTCTGCCATCATTAATCAATGTCCGAAGAGCGGGCGCCTCAATGCTATTTAGGGCGCTTGGCTGGGAGGGATGAAGGGGGATGGGGGCCAGGGAAGGGGGTTGGAGAAGGCAGGGAGGGTGGCTGGAGATTGGGCCGGTGGCGGGGAGGGGGCCAGGCAGGGAGGAGGAGACCGGGGTGCCAGGTGGGGGAGGGAAGCAGGAAGGAAGGGTGTGCGGGAGTGTTGAGGAAGGGAGGAGGAGAGAGATGGAGGAGGAGGACTCCGAAGAGACAGACGCCAGAAAGGTATATAGAAGGACAGAAGAGAGTGTTGAGAGGAAAAGAAGACAAGAGGATGGAGCCAGAAGGGGTGAGAAAGAGGAAAAGGAAGAGAAGGGAGAGAATTAGTAACTAAGCCGGCTCCGTTTTAAGGTTGTCTTGCCTAGGTAGGAAAGGTGGGGGGCTGGGGGAGGGCTGCTCAGCTGAGGGACAGAAGCTCAACTCACACGTGCAGACACAGTGTCTGTGCTATTCTACTGCCCCAAGTTTCTGGGTGACCTTCAAGGAGTTTTCAGGGAATGAAATGGAGAGCTCCCCTTCTTTTTGGATTAGGAGAACAAGGAGGACTTCAGAAATTGTCCTTTTTGGGCAGCTAGAAAGGCCCGCTGGTTTACTGCTTTTGGAAAACACAAAAATCTGTGACCCTCAACATTCAGGGCGCTAAGAACACAATGTCATCTTGCCGGGGTGGTCACTCATGCCTTCCGGTGGACCCAGTCCTTTTTCTGGCACATTCGATCTCACCAATTAAAGCCGCCTGGGTCTCCCTCAGAAGACCCCGGCAGATAGCATTCTCTGCTCTAGTTTGCTTTTGTGACATTTTCTCAGCTTTACAATACGGAGATTTACACGTGCTCCCACCCCTCTGCACCCCCCCCCCGCTCCACCCCCACCCCAACCCAAGAGTGGAGCTGACTTCAGAACTGACACTTAGGAGGAAAGTCAAGGGGGTTGGAAAAGCTGAGGTTGGGGTGGGGCAGAGCAGAATTAGAGGCAAGTCAGGAGAAACCCATGCCAGCAGTATCCCTCCCCAACCCGGCAGGCAGCGTGAGCATGCACCACTGAAAGTTTATTTGCTACTTTAGAAGTAGCAACTGATCTCAGCAAACGCCGAGGGAGCGGTCCCTCGTAGAGTGGGCGTCCTTTTTTTTTTTTTTTTTTCCTTTTGTGGTTGTACCTTCCACTTTTAAAGCTTGAACAAAATAAAACTAGAAGTTGGATCTCAAATGCCCCACATGATAAACCTAAATGGCAGACAATTAAGATATCTTGTTTAAAAGGCGCTCCCTCAGAGCGCGCAAAGAAGGGGGCTTCAATGGGCACCGTCCACCTTCCAGCCTAATCCCTGAGAAGGCAAGTGAAAGCGCCTCCCATTATTCCAGCTCCAGGACCATCTGACTCTGGGGATAGGATTTGTTTCCTGGAAGAAGGAGAGAGAGAGAGAGAAGGAAAAAAAAAAAAAAGACGCTGGGAAATAAAATCATTCCTTAGTTTCTTAGTGTCTTAATCAGTGAGGCGGAAAACAAGCAAGAAAAGATAGCAACCCGGTTGCGGCACCTTTTCAGCTCTGGAGCTCGGATCAAAACATTGTAGCATCTGTTGAAAAAGAGACTGACTAAATCCTATAGAGGGCCTGGGTATTATGGGCGGTGGGGGGATGAGGGGCGGAGATAAGAAAAAATCTCCGTGATCCCTAAAACCACCAAACCGCTGGAGAATTGAGGCTGGATAGAGTTGTCTCTTGTCAGCCCCACGTCGGCCCGATTTTATTCACCGCCGCATGGCGTTGATCAGATGGAAACCATATTTGTCTCCCTCTGAGACCTAACCTCGCCTTATGCTTTCGGAGTAATGGACTCTTTAAAACCCCGAAACGGCCTCCCAGGCTGGGACGGGGCGAGGGAGGGAGGGGAGCCTCCTTAGCACCAAAGGTCTGAGGATTCCGTGCACGTCAGCCGCCGCGGAAGCTCGCCACCAGCGGCCGCGGCCCCCCAGCCCCGGGCGGCGACCGTGCCCGGGGGACATCGCCGAGGAGTGGGGTGGCGGGGGAGGCAGGGCGACTGGCAGCTGGTGAGCCAGAGTTCCCTAGCAGCTCGGCGCCTCGAAGTTACACAGCTCCGGAACTAGCGCCACCTCCCGCCGCAACCATCACCGCCAGTTCCTGGCAATTGGGCTCTCGCTTCCCGCGCTCACACTCCCTGGGACGACAGGCCGCCCAAACCCGGCACCACCTCTGGTGGGAGCGGTGGAGCCAAGCTGCTGCTCTGGGCCTGGGTCCCGCTCGGGAGGCAGGAGGGGATCCACTCCCCAGGCCCCACGCCGACGTGATCCTGGCGCCGACAGCCCACGGGAAGGAGACTCTGGGCTCAGCCCTCCCAGACCCGGTCACTGCGCCCCGCGTCCTTCCGAGGCTCGGACCCTGTGGACCAGACTCCGCAGGGGAAGGGTCGCCAGGACCTCAGATTGCCGGGGGCTGGCGGGCGGTTGCTGGGGAGCGCGAAGTTCGGGTGTGCGCACGTGTGACTCCTACAGTTGCAAAGGTCAGGCGAGCGGGTGGTGGAGTACACTCAGCCTGCCTCCCCCTCTTCTCACCGGAGGCCGGAGTGAGCCCTGGCCGACAGCCTGCGGAGGCAGCGCCCCGTGCGTGGGCCCGCCGCGCCGCGGGAGGCCGTGGGTTGGGGCCGCCCCGGGGAGCTCGGGCCGGCGTGGCAGGAGGCCTCGGCGGGCCAGCGGCCGCGCTGGGAAACACGGAGCAAGCGCTTTGCTTCCTATCTTCCCAGTGTCCGTCCTATATTGTTTTCTGCTCTTAAAACTGACATGTCTAATTGGCAATTGGTGCCGAATCGTGTCCAGAGGTCTCTTGTGGAACATTTCTACAGCTGTCTCCCTCAACTAGACGCTTATTCATGTCGCCTTAATGAGAAACAAAACGTTCTCTAATGAGCAATTACAGAGCGACAGGATTGTTCCCATAACAAATTCTTGCGAGTGACAGAAGCATCCTTTGTACCAGATATTTCGCATACTGTTACCGATTTTCCCTTCTCTAGCCCGGCTCGGTGGAGACGCAGGGCACCCGGAGCCGGTCCGAGATCGCACGGGCGCGGGCAGCCCAGTCAGCGTTCCGGCGCCACTGCCCCCAACCGGGCCCGGAGCCCCCAGGCTTCCTCGTGCTCCAGGGAAGGAGACGCCACGTCCCATTATCCCGCATATTATCTCCTTGTCACTAGGACAACAAATACCGATTAATCTTCGGAGTAAACTGTTTCCTATTTTTGACCAAGCTACCTCGGTGTGTGCAGAGGAGGGGACAGCCAACCCACCCCACCGCACTCCCGTCTGCTGGTCTTCCTCCATCTCTTCTCACAGATCCTGGGATGGCCCAGAACCCTTCTCTCCTTCCAGCCAGAGAGCAGCTCCGGGAACCCAGAAGTCCAGCTGACAGTATGCTCACCCCATCCTTCTTCGCAGTCACCACCCACAGAGAGTGGGAACTGAGGGCTCAGAGGGGCAGAGATGAGAGGAGGGAGATGGTGGGGTGGCTTTAGCTGTGAAACCACCACTTCCAATGCCTTGTCCTCCCAGGCCCTGCATCTGGCTGCTCACCCTTTCATATCCACCCTACTCATAGTCACATCATTTGTCAATTACAGCAAAAAGCAAAACGATACAATTATGTTTACCTCACAGTCTGTCAGTGTGTTAACTTGTCACACTTCTACAGCAAGGGGGCTCTCCATGCATTTTAATGGCAGATCTGAATAGGGCACCACACAGCTAGCTCCTATACACACACACATACTCCTGCCCATAACACACACACACACACACCAGCCCAGTGCAAACTATTCCTGGCATACACAACCCTTGAATTCCCAGACCAACCAGATAGTTCAACAAACACCACCTGCATACACAGTGCAAGTCAGTGTATTCCAAGTCTGTGAAGAGTCTCTCCACTAAATTCTCCAAGCACAGAAGTCAAGAAGGAGAAAGGGTGCGGGACAAGAGAATGGGCAAGGGGTTGTATGTATGAAGAGTTTTGATGATGGGTGCTCGGGTTTTACCTTGCGTAGGTTGTCCAGGCACCGAAGTCCCCGGATACCAACCCGGGCGGGTGCCCCAGCTTCCAGTCTGCCCGTTCAACATCCTTAGTTTATCATACATGCCGTCTGCGCCCATCTGTTGCTTTTCGCTAGCCAGGTTGCGAAGAACTCTGTTTATTGATGACACCTGGAAATCAAAGCAAAATCCAACCAAATGGTAGTGTCTCCTGAAGACACAGTTGCCCTGTAAGTCCCCATCTCAGCATACCCACCCACTTAAAGAACACCCTTAACACATTAGAAACTCTCAGCCAACCTGGAACAGTGAGTAGATTTGCAGAGACATATAGATAGAATGACACCCATCAATTTGGGCATGGAAACTTGGGTGGGTGAGTGAGGGGACATTTCCTTCACCACTGCTCTGAGTCTCTGGTGACCTAACTCATATGGTTGCTTCACTTTGTTAAAAAAAGTTCCCCAAAAAAGATTAAGACTTGGTTTAGAGCTTTTTTTCGCTTTGTTTTATATTAGGGCAGAAATGGATGTTTGACACCTTCAAGCAGGTGATTCAGAATTTAGAACCTGATTTTCATTTTCATTTTCCTTCTTGGTTCAAGTGCCTTTCCCAAGGTGCCTCCGCCCTCTACTTTGCAGCATGCAAATGAGGTGAACAACTCCCCACACTTGACTCCCATTTTCCAGATCATAAAAAGGTCAGAGTGCTCCTCTCAACAGCCCCAGGTACAGAGGAGACATACGTGGAGCAGGGAGGAGACAAAGACAGAAAGATACTGAGTCAGGGGAGCTGGTGAAGAAAAAATGGTAAAGAAGAAAGAGCATGGAGCTTAGGGCAGGGAGGGGGAATGTTCTCAGTGAACTTACACTTGGTATGTTATCGTTGGTACAGACCCCCTCGGACAATAATCTGTCTCGGATTTCCCAAGCAAAGATGGATGGACACTCCCGCTTATACTGGGCTATTTTGCTTACAACTTCTGGAGTCGCTACTCTTGGTTTACTACCACCGATTGCCCTGGGTCTGATGGAGCCAGTCTCGTAATACCTGCCCAGAATTTTACTCACACATCCATTGGACACCTGCATAGGGGAAGTGGACAGAAAACCACATTATTAATAATTTCAAGACAAAAATAAAATTGTTTAAGTATGCATTAAACAATGACAAGCTTACGTTTTGATTGTCCAGCACTTGGACTTTTGCATCTGCATGGGTCTATAACACAAAAATATACCTTCAATGGTATGAGAACTTACTATAGAGAGCTTTTTTTTTCTTAAAATTACATTTGTAGCCCTAAAAACTACAAATATACTTTCAAACAGTTTGAACTAAAAAAAAAAACTATGAGTTTTTTCAAAAAAAACTTTTCTTGAACACTGCCTCAAGATGCATCAAAACGAAGTCAGATTAATTTTTTTGTGCTGCCCTTGCTTAAAGTGGTGTTATGTTTTACTGAGAAAAAGGGGCAAATAAACCAAATTTTTACTTATTTTTCCTTTAAAAATATGCCCAATTGAGTAATGTGAGCTAGGGAGAAAAGTAATAGCATTTGACTTTTTAACTCAATATGTATCCTTCATGACTATGAATATGAAGAATGCAAACAAATATCTAAAAATCTGAGGTAAGCATGGAATGAGGGAGAAGGGAATGGAATGATACCGGTTTATATAACTCAGCTTATTATAGCTCATAAACTGTTCTCACAATTAATGTTTTTACCAAATGGAAAGAGAAAAGTGGTTTTTTTAAATTGACACAAATACATTTTTTGTTCTTAAGCAGATGAGTTATTTTATGTGACTGACCCAGGTTGAAAGAGACAGGGAAGGAAAGGGGGAAGCGGGAAGGCAGGGGAGTGGTGTGGGGCCAGGGGCGGGTGAGTGGGTGGGCGAGGAGGGTCCATCATTAGCAGCGTTTGCAGTAAGAAATGAAGAGAGGGCGTTGAGAGTGGAGGGCCGCGGGGGCGGCGAGTGGGGCGGCGCCGGGAGGATCACCTGCAGAATTCGGGAAATGTCGCACGGCCGAGCCCCGCTGTGAGCTAGCTCTACGATCTTCTGCCGGGTGGAGTCCGGCAGTGGCCGCCCGTTGACAAAGACACCACCGAGCTGATTCACTCCGCTGTGACCTGAGGAGAGGAGAGGAGGAGAGGAGAGGGCAGGGGAAGAGGAAGAGGAAGAGGACGCAGAAAGCAGAGGAGGAGGAGAGGAGACAACCACAATGGACCCTCAGCTCCCTGCCAGCCCGGGACAGCCTCCGCTAGTCGTCCCCGCTATCGGTCACAAACTCCAACAGGACCCACAGCCCTGCCAGAGCACCAGGCAGTCCAGACTCAAGCACAGCCGTGCTCTAGCCCCCGGACTGCGGAAGCACCATAAACATGCCAACGAGCAAGAAAACAGGCACCTCACCACTGCCACCAGCCCAGCAGTGCCCCCAGCCCACTCCCCCACTTCTTAAATGCCTCAGCCAGCCTCTGAAACCACAAGGTACAAACAACCAGCTCAAATAACACCCCCTCAGAGGTCCCCTCTGAGTGTCACAGCAAACTGTGGAACCCACACTGAATCTCCAAGGTCTCTACATTGTTGGAACCATGACAGCAAATCCTACAGCCCTTCAGCGCTCCCTTGGACGCCTGAGTCCAAAACGTCTCCTCCTATCACACTCCAAACTCTGGCAAAGGCACCACACAAGTACCGGAGTTTTTAAAAAAGAAAGAAAGGGAGGGGCGAAGGGAAGGAAAAGGAGCAGAGAAGAACCAGAACAGCCTATCTGTGGCTAGTAAACCCCGACCTGGGTTGTTTCCGTGCCTTCACTGCCCGCTTGACGGTCGGAGCCCCAGAGAAGCCCCAGCCACAAAGTAGTCCAGCGCCGCAGCAGGGCCGAGAGCTGGGAGTCCGGAGGTCTGTTTGCACCAGCCACAGCTCGCCTTATCCTACTTTCGCTGTGAAACTTGGCTCTCCTGACAGCCCACGATACATATCAGGAAAAATCAAAAAGCGAAAAGGGAAAGACCACACTACAGTGTCCCCCCATTCCTCCTTTATCTCAAAACCTCACCCCATTGTGTAATCTTAGAGAATAGGAAGAGGAAATTAGCACCTCTCTGTAGCCCCCTCCCCAGAAACCACATTCACACAAATAAAGCTAATTGCCAATCTCCATTTCCTTAAAAGTCTCCAACCTGCAGCCCCGACTCTAGAGAGTAGCCCTTCCAGGAGAAGACGTGGCTCCCAGCTCAGCTTTCCAGTTCTCTCCTCTCCTCTCCTCTCTTCTCCTTGGAGCCTCTGATAAATTGACTCCAGGAGCCTGAGCTTCTTAGCAATAAATAAGCTCCAAATATAGAAGAGGGGGGAAAATATGATGAGCCTCTCTGACATTTGTCTTTAAAATAAAACTAGCTGCACGTCAAGTTTGAGCTTAATTTCTGGAAATAGGCGGAAGTCGCTCCAGATCATGCACGGAAGGCTAATTGAAAAGATCAGTCGGGGCGCTTGTGGCAGCCTTGTCACTTTGTGACAGTGCTCCACTCCGGGAAATTGCATCGTCACGACAAACAGGACCGTGATAAAACGACCCTTTCCGTCCCTATTTGTAGATCACTCAGACAAGATTAAACTGCACTCTTTCAGCCCTTCGAGGGGAGCCGTATTTTCAGGGTAGCCAAAGGCTTGGCACGGATTGGGTGGGGGAGACTGAATTGGGGGTGGGGTCAGAGCTTCAATTCAATGAGAAATGACAGGCATTTGGGGGATCTGGACTCCCAGCCCGGCCCAGCGCGAGCTGAGACATCTTGGGGACACCGTTTCTCCAACAAAGCAAGACCTAGTCTGTACTTCAGGTTTCCTCTACATTCCCTTCATTGCCTTCCCTTGACCTCAAAAGATCCACCTACAGCTCCAGCTACGGAGCTTCCCCTTTGGGCAAAGGGAGCTTTCCCTCAAAGAGAAAGGCTGCCCCGGAAAGAGAAAGACTTCCAAACTTCATGCACAGCCTGGGAAATTCCCAGTCTGTGAATGCCAAGGCGAGTGAGGCCGGTTAATCCTAAACCTCCCTCCTTCTCCCCTCACTGCAAAAAATAATGTGCCTGCCACCTCCACAGAGACCGCAGGCGGGTGCTTGCCCAGGAGACGCCAGGGGCACGTCGCCTCTGCCAGCAGCGAAATGGCAGCGAGGAAGTGCAGTTCTAAGTTCCCCTTTAGAGGTTAAGCCTCAATCATTATGTCCCTTCCCTAGGGACGGCTGGAGCGCTAGCCCAGTGGCGATGATTATGTACCTAGAATTCGACCAGGAAGCATCTGATAGGAAAACATATGGTGTCAATTTGGATGCTCTGCGCCTTGTGCACACCCGGGAGGAGCGGCACAAAGCCCTGCAGGCCGGCCCGCGACCCCGTGCCCCTCGGGGCCCAGCAGCCAGACCGAAGCGGCAAATGCTCGGCCCTGAGCACCCTGGCCAGGCCGCGGAGAGTCTGGCGCTGGGGAGCCTAAGCTGGGAGAGAACCCTGCTGCCAGGAGAGGTGGGCAGACTTGCCTTCCCAGGAAGGGTGCCTTCTGGGCCAAGCCCCAGGGCCTGGCAGGTTCTGCACAACTAACTCACCTTAAGGCTGCTCACCATATTTGAGCCCTCTCCTGCGCCTTAAGCCCACCAGCTGTGCAAGCATGAGGAGCAGCTAGTGCCACCAGGGCCTATGGATGAGGTGCCTAGGACCCTCTTCCTTGGGCAAGGGAAGCTTGCTAAAAGACTTAAGCCTTTCACACGCCTACCACAGCTGAGGCCTTAAACTGCATCCAGACTCCACACTTCAACCCAGGCCTAGTTTCACTGGCCTCCAGTCTTGCCTTGCCACATACCAGCTCCCACAGACTCAGCAGGAAGATGGTCTGGGGCCTAAGGCACCTGGGCAGAGGGAGGATGAGAGACACTGGAGAGGGGTAATCAAATGCACTATGGCCCTGCAACTACCAGGACGCACACAGCTGCAGCTACCAGGGCTGGGTGGGCCTCAGCTCCCTGTCCTGACCCAGTAAACCTTCTCTCACCAGTGCCCCTTAAGAACCCCAGGGTTTGAGTTTACCTCCTCAACCCCACCCAGGCCTACGTGCCCTGCTCTCCTTGTCTCCTAAGGCCCAAAGCTGGGGTGGGGAGGGGAGGAACTGCCCTGAGAGTAACTGGTGGAGGGGAGCCCCCGACCCCCCACCCACCCATGGTGGAAACATTCAGTCTTGGCTGTGCCTAAAGGGGCCTCCTTCTCTTCCCGCAACTAGAAGCCTCTGCCCCGCCCAACTCAGCCCAGCCCCTCTCTCTGGGGTCAGAGCCCGGGCAGAGGTGGGGAGGGGTGTGAGTTACAGGATTTGGGGGGATGGGGTTTCTCTACCTCAGCTTCACAAACTCAAACGGGCTGTTCTGAAGGGCCCAGCCCTGTTCTTGCAGGAGCTGGAACTGCAGAGCAAATGCCCTCCCGTCTCCGGTTGCCAGGCCTGGAGGGGGGCGCAGCTGCCTCAGGCCCCTAGGCCTCTTCCCTCGTGCCAGGCAGCCTGACCAGCACAGATGTCGGGAACCTCTATGCCCTCCCCTGACCTGCTGGTCTGTGCTTCCCCAGGCTGAAGTCTGAGAAAGACCAGTGGCACTTACTGTTTTGCATGCTGGCGCTGGCTGGGGGCCGCGGAATCCCACTGGACTCGAATATGGGGCTCTGTCAGTAAGAATATAGTCATTAATCCTGGGCTTGTGCCAGGTAAGCCTATATCCCAACCAAGAATGACTTGGAGCCAAGACAGGAGAATGCCCCTTCTTTAGGAAATGATCCACTCTGTCGCTTGGGGCGATCTGAGGGTCATCTCTGCCCTCCAGTGCGTGCAACACCTACCCTTTGGGCTACAAACAAAATACTCCAATATTCCCAATCTGTTTCCCCCAAATCCATTAGTAGTTAACCCTTTAATCAGGGGAAACAATGACTCAGTATTGAATTTTTCCTTTATCTGAATAACAATGAAGAAGCATTCTGACTCTTTTCAGTTTGGGAGCCCAAAGCAGCCACCACAGAACTTGCCTGAAATCTGGGATGTTTGTCCACTCTTACAATAAAAGGTCTCACACATCTGCACGCCCCTAGTTAAAGTCTTCCCCCTAAGACAAAACAGAAGAGAAAAGTATATCAAACTGTGGCTCAAAAGCAGAGGCCCATGGGCTCTCAGAGGGGAAAAAGTGCACCTAGGGCTCAAACTGCCAAAAAACCCTAAATGCCAGAGTTATACCCATATTTCCAATGGCATCTCCTGAAGAAGTCCCCACCTTTTGGAAGTGGCTACTCTGGCCCGGTTTGGGAAAATTAGAGAATTTGACATGTCAGGGTCCCATGTTGCAAAACTATCAGGAAACAGGGAAATAGAAGAACAGGTGAAACAGCGGGGTAAGGAACAGAGGCTGTGGACTGTGCCTGAAGTTTAGAGGTGGAGAGAAAGGGATCACAGAACTTTGGGGTGCCTGATAGTGCTGGCTCGGGCTGGTGGGGAGGGCTGCAGAGCCATTCTCCCTTCTCAAGGAATTTCACCTCCTCCATTACCCCAAGGCCCCAGCACCTATCTCTCTGGTTACCCCTTCATCCTTCACTCTCCCCTCTCAAAGCTTCCCAGTCAGACCCCCACTCCACCCATCTCCCAGCCCTTCTGGAACTTTGAAAGTGACGAGCCAACTTTTTCCCCCCAAGCCTCACTTATTGTGATTAACTTCTCTTTTGGTGTTTAGATCTTCCCCCCTTTTACTGTACTGTGACACACGCTGTCTACCTCGCCTCACTGCTTTAAAAAGTATGAACAGGAGGGGGTGAGCGTGGTCGACAAAGCCTACAGACAGCGAACAATGGCTTCTATTCTCCAGCTCTCCCCAAACTCAAAGAGCAAAACCGAGTCTCCCAAACCAGCAACACAGCTTCCAACCAAATGTACCAACAATCCACCAACTCACAAAGGGAACAGAGGAACACTTATCACTTTGTAAATCCTGACCCAGTACGGTTCCCCAAGATTCCCCCTCCACCACTGGCTCCCTGCCTTCCCCTAAGAAGGTGGTTCTGGGGAGAGAAAATAGAAAAGTAATTTCTTGTTATAAATATCTGGAGGTAATTGTGTTACTGGTGTGAGTTGTTAGGGGCTGTAAAAAGATACAACGGCACCGTGGGGAGCTCAATTGGGAAGAAAGAGTTACAATAAAGAGCCCATTCAAGAGGTTTGCAAAAAAGGGGGGGGTAAAATAATTAAATAGTCACAGCATCATTTCTCCTATTTAAGAAAAAAACTAAACTAAAATATCCATTCTTTGTCCTGTTTTGCCTGATGTGATTATTAATTTTGCCTGTTTTCAAGCAAAGAATTTCAAGCACATTTTTTTCTCTTCAAGGCCATATATATATGGTCTGATTTATTAACTAGCTGAGAGGCAGCTTAAATCCATAAAAATAAACTTAAGAGAAAGACTTTTTCCCAGCTTCTGAAGTGGCCTGATAACAGCAGAGGGCTACCCAGTTACCCCTAGCTGGGTTGGCTCCCAAAGCCTCCCTCCTCTCTTTCATTCCCCAGGAGCACAGTTGTATCCAGTACAGGCAGAAACCCCAATTTGAGCAGAATGTGCCCCCCCTACCCCCAAGTGGGACTCTGAAACTGCAAAGTAGTAGCAAAAAGGGAGAAAGGGAGTAGAACTCTCCTAGAAAGGGCAAAACTTCCTGAACTCCTCTCTGTAACTCACGATGTACTCAACCACAACTAAATGCTCCCATCCTAGCCCGTACATTCTTGAAACTTAAAAAAAAATCACTAGCTGATTCCAGCAACTGGGAAGGTAGAAGCATTTCAAATTCTGGTTCTGCTCCATTCCCACCCCCATCTCGGCTAAGAAGCTTTCTAATTACTTAAGTAATCATGGTTAACACTTAGTGGAAAAGTAACCTGGGAAGCCGGGCACACCGACACCCGGAAGCAGTCGTGCGAAGAAACACCAGACACCCCTAGCTGCCGCCAGAGCCCCCAGCTCAGCCGGGGGTTTCCTACAGTCCTAGCCGAGTCAGAGACCCGCGTCAGGAACCCAGGGGACTCCAGACACCTTACAGTTGCTTGGGACCTTGGTCCACTAGGCCACTGGACCACTGTATTCCCCCATCTCAGAAACAAGCTTCAGCTTTCAGATGCTGTTGTTTTAATTGCTTAATTCTCAAAATCCATCCCCAAAACTCCTTAGCTAGGATGAAGGGGCTTGCTTACTTTAGGCCCTCTCAGCCCCCAGCCAAAGAGTAATTAGCAATTAAGATGACAAAGTTTTACTCTCTAGGGCCAAATAAGATAAAAACTAGTCAAACTGCCTTCAGACGTTTTCAAAGGTTGCCACCTATTAAAAAATGTAATGTCAAAGGCAACAACTAGATTTCTCCTTGGTAAACTCACCAAGCCTTTCAAACTCTTAAGATTTTCATTTCATTTTCTGCTCCCGACGCCTACTCAAACCTTCCCAAGTTTGAGTTAAATATCCAAAATAGTTTAGGGAGCTTTGGAGAGTATGAGAGAAAAAAAGAAACCACCCTCACTTTGTTTTTAAACTTTCTAGAAATCACTCATGACTGGAGGGCCAGGTTTTTAGCACTCGAAAAAGAAAGCATTTCCACTTGAAATTCAACTCCATTTCCCCCCAATTACACTTGCTAAAATTCAGGGCTATTATGGTGCACGGAGACTGAGAAAATCTGCTCAGGGAAAGAGGCAACAACTTTACGAACTTTGAAAAGACACTTTTCCTCCTGGGGTCTTAGAATCGAAAAGCTCTCAAATTACTCAGACTAATTAGCTGGGAGAGGATGTGATCAGACGGAGGAGAAAGCCAATGCTTTCATATTTTTTTTAAGGCCTCACAAAGAAAAATTCAGGGGATTTGGATTATTAAAAAAAAAAAAGCAATCCACCTTTCCACCTCCAAACTTGTTGAAATGGCAACACCGTGTGCAGCTTTGTCAGAGGAACACAAGGAAAAATACCCACCGAGCGCTGGGGACTGGAGGGCAGGGAGGACCCCAGCTTTCGCAGGGCGAGGGCGAAGGTTGGGAGAAGCCTGGGGAGCAGAGTTTTCAGGATTCGAGCCCTGCGCTCAAGTCGGGGCCAAGAGCCTAGGAGCTGGATGGAAGCGGACAATCCTCCTGCTCGGCTCCGAGCTCCCTCGGAGAGCGCGTACGACCGCCTTGGCCTGATGGCTTCCTCCCCGGCTCCCGCTCGCTCGTTCTTTCTCTCTGCCTCCAGCGTGTGGCTGCCTTGCCGACTGACTCTGCTCTGGCTGGCGGCGGGCGAGGTGCCCCTCGACGCTCGAGTGCCAGCCGACTCTTCCGTGCCCGAGCCGAGCGCCGCACAAAGCCGGCGGGGCGGTGGCGCGGCGAGCCGGCTCCCTCGGCGATCGCTCCGCACGCCCGCTCTCTGCGCGCTCGCTGGGCCCTAGGCTGGACAAAGCGCCCGGCGGCGGCTGGTCTCTGCAGCCGTTCCCGGGCCTGGGGCCCCCAGAGCCTCTTCGTCCTCTCCCGCTGGCCGGGAGCATTTGACGACGCTGGGGCTGGGAGCCGCGGCTGCTGCTGCGCGCGGAGCCTCGGTTCTTCCTGCGAGCTCAGCCCGCGCTGGCGCTGGGGTTGAGCCGGCCGCCCGCCCCGAGCCCTGCATCGCTCCCGCTCGCCGGCCGTCGCCCTCCGACGCGGGCTTTCGCTGGAAGTAGAAAGTTTGGGCTCCTGCGTGGAAACTTCTCCGGCCCAACTCTCCCGGCGTTGCAGTGGGGGAGGGGACCAGCGGAGGATAGGAAGGAAGGAGGGAAGGGGGAGACCTGCCGGAATATTGCAATAAAAATGAAGCAAGAAGAAAGAAGGGGACTCACCTTTATGAGGCATCCTCTCTCGTCAAAGCTCCTGTCAAGAGTTTTGTTTGTTTGGTGATTTTTTGCGGCTGTTGCTTAAAGACCACAATGATTTGAAATGATGGTGTTCTAAGGGAGTTGCTGGCGAGAGTTTTCTCCACGGACGCTGCTGGTTTGGTGTGTGAGAGCAATTCTCAGATCCCTGCGAAGGAGACAGAGATTGACAATAAAATGGGCTGTCAGCGACTGGCGAGTGAGAGATAAAGAGTGTGGGTGAGGGAAGTGGCTGCAGCCAGCACACCTATGCTGATTGGTGATGGCTCAAGTGTGTTAATGTGTGTGTGCCGGCTCCCGGCCTCGCCTCCACCGCTCCTCACTGGCCCATTAGCGAAGCCTGACCTCTGTCATCATCCTCCAGCAAAACACTTCCTCCTGCGCCTGAACCAGAGCGGGAAATGAGGCCGAGCCACGGTTCGCTTTTCAAACCCACTAATCACTCCACAACATGCAAATGTACCGCTCGCTCCCACACAAAATATTGCTTTATGCAAAGCAGCGCCGGGGCCTCGAGCCAGCCGATTGGATACTCCCTCTCCCCGCCTGGTGCAATTGGTCGGTTTGTTTGAATATGAATACACTTGTTTTCTGCCCCGCCGGTGGGTCCCGGCTGCTCTCCCCGGCGGAGGGCCCCCGCGTCTGGGCTCCGGGGCTGGCGCTCGCCGACATCTCTGGGCTCCGAGCTTTCCTGGAGTCAGCGCGGCCCACAGTGTGGCCGAGAACTTGAGGGGTCGAGTGAAGGCCGCTGAGCTGGGGGTTGCATCCCCCTACCCCCACTAAGCTGGGCGCGGGACTCCCAGTTTATGAAGGGAACAAGTTTCTGCAACTCTGCGCAACCCTTTTTTTGCCAACTCCAGCGCAGCTTGGCCTGCCGCCCCGCCCCCGTCAGCCCTCCCCTCCCACCCCATTCCCAACCCCGCCTGGGCGCTGGGACACCGTGCACAGCAGTGGCCGCGCCATAGCCCACCTGGCCGCTAGGAAGAAGAGAAAAGAGGCGTGAGCCTCACTGTTGCCGGCAGCAACACGCGGCCGGAGGCTACGGCGAAGCCTAGGCCGAGGAGGCCGCGGAGCTGGGAACCCGGTGAGGCTGGGCGGCCTCCGCAGTGCAGGGCTCCCGGGCCGGCCCATTCCTTCACCGTCACTTCCCTGGGCTTTTCTTCCGTCCTTTCTCCTTTCAGAAGCGGCGGTGCGCAGCTGAGTGGAGGCACCGACTGGGCTGGAGAGGCCCGAGCAAACACGCCACTTACTTTGTGTACAGAGGGTTCTTGTGAAAAGCCCTGAAGAGTCCTCACCAAACACTCACCAACTTCTCCCACGTGCCATTTGTTGACTAAGTGCGGCTGCTTTTCTAGAAGCCGGAGAGGAGGGGATGAGAGGGTGAAATAGGAGGGAAGGGGGAGATGGTGGTGGCCGGGGATGGGGGCGATGTCCAATGCTGGGAGGGAGGGAGGGAGGGAGAGGAGGGGGAGAGAGAGAGAGAGAGAGAGAGAGAGAGAGAGAGAGAGAGAGAGAGAGAGAGAAGAGAGGAGAGAGAGAGGAGAGGAGAGAGAGGAGAGAGCGTGTGTGTGCGCGCGCGCGTGTGTGTCCTCGCCAGGCATATCGGTGTGTCAGCGTATTGGTTGTGTGCCGCCGGTTATCTGTGCGTGGTGCCTGTATCCTGTATCTTCCCACCACGATTCCCTCTCCTGGGTCTGCTCAGTTCAAGAAGGTAGCTCCCCTTCAGCCGTTGCCAGAAAACCGAAGAGGAAAGTAAGTAAATGGCTTTTCTCTTCTGACCACACACCAGAGGTCCATTTGTTGAATGCCGGACGATTAGGACACACCTCACTACACTCCAAAGGCGCCCCTCCGCGCCTGCAGTTAAGGTGACAGGGGAGGCAGAGGCTGCCTAGTCCTGAGAAGTCCCATGCATTCGGAGCTTTCAGGCCCGGTGCAGGGAAAAGAGGGAAAGATTAGGATGGGGAACGCACCCCAGAACCCGGCAGTGTAGAATGGGGTTGGAAGAGCTGAGGTGGGGAAGCTGAAACAAAGCCACCCCTGGGTATACATGACTCCTCTTGACTTACGAAAAGTGCTGAAAGTCAGAGCTCATCAATAAAGTCTGTGCACCCACGTCTCCCTGCTGACCTGCGCTGTGGCACCTGCCCCTGGGAGTGCCTCTCAGACCGTCAGGCCTACTCTGGACCTCACATTCTTGTCCCAAATGAGGACCCTCAAAGGCTGAAACCAAGGAGCCAGGTCAGAGCTCCGGAGGAGTGGAAGCCTCTTCCCCGCAGGCCAACGCTGGAGTCACACAACCTGCTCACCATCTCTGCCTGGGGACGGTCCTTCCCTGGCCCAGACGCACCCTGCACCGGGAGAAAACTCAGGCCAGAGGCGAAGGAGGTGACACCAGGCGCCCAGGTCAGCGGCCTCCGCGGTGCAAGATTTCGTAGGACCGCGACTTTCAGAGGATCCCGGGAAGTGGGGCAGTGGGCCCAGGTCCCAGACCGGCAAGAGTCTGCGTTCTTTTTCTCTCCCCATTTTACTTCTCAAACAAATATTAAAGACCCTTGAACTCAAGTCCACTGGAAATAAGCGAAAGGGGGTGGGGGAGACCCAGAGGCCCAGAGACTCTGTCCGAAGTGGAGGCGAATATCATTTTTACAACCTCTCAATTAGCGACCGAGTGGATTAGCACCTTCTTAATCTTTGGTTCGGAAAGCAGCAGCAGTAATCTTGTTGCTATTTTCCCCCAGGGCACACTGGCTCTTTGAATCAGCTCCTTCTCCCACCCCGTACTACTCCCCACCTCATCTAGGAGAAAAGTTTTAACAACAAAAAAATCATAAAGAGGAGAAGAGCCGTGAGCGGATACCACTGACGTCATTGGGTGGGGGTAGGAGCTGGGGAAGGACTCTTGGAAACCCCTCTGCACAAACAAGAAACAAGGACTTGCTGCTTCCAACGTGTCAGTATTTGGGGGAGAGCGCAGCCCGTAAGGAAGTCAGAGTTTTCAAAGTTTAAGGACAGCGAGATTTCTCGTTCTCTCCGAACTAGGCTCAACGAGGCTAGGGGTGCTGTTCTATCCCGTGGGAGCCTCGGGCGCCCCGCCAAGCAGCTGTTCTGGGGGCGACACGGACGGTCGGGGTGCTGGGACTGAGGTGCAGCGCGCCAGGGCTAGAAGTGCGCAAAACTGAGGCAACTCGCGGGTCGCCATTTTAATTGCGGGTTCCAACACGACCGAGGCCCACTTGCTGCCCTCCAGGGCGTCGCGCCTTCGGTTTCTGTGTCGACTCTTCCTCTTCCTGGGTCCTGCCCTGTCCGCCGCACCTTGGCGCCCAGGGAGGACAGCTCTTCCTCCTGCTCCTCCAGGGCCGCCGGGGTCATCCCACCCGGTAGGGGGAGGCTCTCTGTGTCGAGAGAGTCACGCTGGGGATCGCCGCTCGCTCAGATCGCCCGGAGCCAATGGCCAGTATCGGTGCGTAAGTGTGAGACCGGGCAGCGTCTCACCCTCAGCGGTCCCTGGCATTCGCCTGTTCCGCTGCCGAGGTTTCCGGTCCGGAGGCGGCCTCGGGCAAGGCAGAGACTCGCCCAGCTCTCGGGAATATGCTTTCGGCTCCCGGCTTCGAACCAAGAGCCTCCCACCCGATGTTGTGACACCTCTGAACTGTCGCTTTCTAGAGCCAAGCAGAGTCGCAGGGCTGGTGCGCTGGGAAGAGTGGCGACGAGTCTTTCTTTGGAGGAGGGAAATCTCCCCAGATACCTGCGTCAATCTGCAGAGCCTCAAACGGCACTCTGTCTGCAGGCCCTGGGAAGATGGGTTCCCTGGATAGCGGAATTGGCGAAACGGGTCAAACGAGCGCGAAAGGCAAAGGAGCCCACCCCTACCTCCCAGTTCGGGCCGCCTCCTCCACTCGGGGCCTTTCTCCCTCTCCTCTCTCCAGCAACCTGCAGGTTTCCAGCTCACCCAGCAACCTCCCTGAGCCCAGAGCACCGCGAAAAGGAGAGCCAGGAGCCGGCCGGGTGGTTTCTCCGGGCCGTGGCCACGCTCAGCTGGGGAAAGCCGCGGTGCCTCGCCCTTCCTCGCCTCCTGCCAAATGGCAAGTGTGTCGGGGTGCTCTCTGGGTTCAGTCGCTTCCGTTCACTTTAGGCGGCAAGCATTTCTCTTTCTCCCTCCCCTCCCCTCGAAAAATACTTTAAAAACAACATTGCTCACTGGTCTCGCAGAGAAGAGATCCCTGCAGCCCGGCAGGTCGTACTCCCAAGGCTTTGCTTCTCCGACCCCACACGCTGTAGTCCGGAGAGGGACCAAGTTTAAACCCCCTGATATGTAGGGCACTTGGAATCAGTGGCACTCTCCGATTTTTCAAGTAGGGTTCCCAGGAAAGTTTGCTTTCCATTTCGTCACCCAAGAAGGTTCCCCATCTGCTCTTTCCTTTGCCTTTAAGAGGCAGGAGTTCAGCTTCAAACGAAAAGGAAGCCAAGGCCACCTCTGTGCCTTCTCCCTGGAGATCCCCTCTCTAAACAGAGGTTTGTTTTTAAGGCCAGGGACCGACTCCTGCAATTTGTCCTGTAGAGGAGTAGGGAACACGCGGGCTGGGGACCAGGGACTCTGCTGAGAGATTTGAGGCTGGGAAAGGGGAGGGAGCAAATGTCAGGGCTGGCTCGCTCGAGCAGCCAGGGAACCGGAGCTAAGCGTATCGGGCTTTTAAAATGACATTGATTGGGACAAGCTGTTCCCCACCCCAGTAAGAGTTAATCTGCCTGTTAATCAAGGCACTAAGGGGCTCAATGCGAGTTTTATTAGCGATTGGAGAACAGAGGCGGCAGCGAGGGATCAAAAGACGGAATCCCAGATATTTGTCAGCGCAGTCACCAAAAAAAAAAAAAAAGTATTTTCAATTAGAGAACAATTCGGCGCTTTTCATCACTTTCTAACTCAGCCTCACAGATGGTGACTTTCAAACCTGGGTAGCGGGGAAAACCGATGCCCCGAGGCAGCCGTGGAGCGAGAAGCGGGGGAGGAGCTGCGGGTTTGCTTCAGCGAGTTTGGCTGGGGAGAGTTGGAGAATTCTCAGCCTGGGGCCCTGAAGCCTCAGATTCCTCCCGAGAGAAGAAGGAAAAAAATAAAACAACAAATAACACCACCAGTATCGAAGTCCATCCCTCCTGGTCAGCAAGCCACTGGTCAGCGCCAGCCCCAGCGCGCAGCAGCGAGCGGGCCAGAAAGTTTGCGCAGAGAGGGACTCTCCTTCCCTCTCTCCAGCGCTGCCCCCTTCCGCCCTGAGGGGCCTTAGGTTCCCTTCGGTTTTATTTCAAATTATTAAATAAACAAACAAGTAAACACCCAGGCCCTGAGAAAATTTGAGTAACTCATTTCATAATCCAAATTATATGAGCGGATCTGAAGGGGTAAAAAAGACAAGCCAGCCACATAACTCCTCTACTCAAGGCGTGACAAAGCGACAGAGGAGGGACCCGCCTCGCCCTGGGCGCTGGGTGAGGACTCTGGTCAGAGGTAATTATGTCACTGAGTCTTCTCTCCATGACAGCCGAATAAACACAATCTCCAATAAACATCTCTAATGAGGGAGGAGGCCCAAGGATGACTGGGTTTGATTTATGGCTGGAGGAGAAGGTCCACTTCTCACTGCGAAGCGGGCAACCTGCTTGCCACCCAGCTCTGGAGAAGGGAGCCCAAGGAGCAGAGAACCCAGGCCCAGGTAAGGAGCGCGGCCCAGCGGCCGCTTCTCATTCCCCTGCTTCTGTGCGGAGGTGAGCACGGGACGGCCCCGCTCAGAGCCGAGCAGTGGTACCAAGCACCCATCACAGATAGATACCAACGTCCTCCGAAAGTTCCCCTAGGCGGTCTAGAGCGACAGGAGCACGGCTGGGAGTGAAAGGCGAGCCCAGGGCCTGACCTGCAGGCCTCCCCGACCATCTACGCCCTCCCCGGCATCTCTGGCCGCTTGGTGATGGACTCCCAGAACTTTGATCCTGCGGAACCACGAGTTAGTCTAAGTTGGGGGCTGTCCCTTCCCTGACCCACTTCAGGGAAACTTTTGGCACCTGACTTGGGCCGTCTGGGGTTAGGAGAGTGGCTGGGCACTGCTCTCCCAGGCACTCAGGTGCCCGGCTCCTCTGGAGCCCACCAGCTTCCCACCGAGGTATCAAGCGCAGAGCCGAAGGTAACCCGAGCCCGCCTTCTAGCTCAGTGAGAATCGCTAATTATTAGGTCTTCCGAAGTGAAGCTCAAATCACACGCTGGGGGCTTTATGCGCTGCCCAGCTCTAAGTGCAGCATTCTTTCGTCCTCTTCTCCTCCGCTCCTTTCTGAGAAACGAACTCCCATCTCTAAGACTTTGTTTCGGTCCAACCATCTACACTTGGCAACCGCGGGAAACTTTTGCTGCACTTCGTCCGACCTACAGCGCGGGTAGGGACTTCACGCGGGAATGTCGTGAACTGCGGTTCTAGGGAGTTCTGGGTGCCAACTGCAACCCCGCCCTTGCGTATCTCATGATCGTGAGCGGCTTCTGCAGAAGGTAGCAGATTCCCAACTCCTTCCCACTCCCTCCAGCGGGGCACCAAACTGGAAGTCCAGTCTGGGGACTGGCTCATTTTGCTACTTTTGCAGAAAAGCACACTCGGCAAAGCAAGACACTTTCCCACCCCTATCCTATCCCACCCTCAGTAACTCCCATCTTTGTGTGCCTCCTTTTAAAAGCAAAAAATCAAAGCCCTGGGCTACTTGGGGAGGACTTGGATTGGGGCACCCGTTGCGGGCAGCGGAGAGGCGGCGGCGGCCCCGGGCCGGGCCGGGCCGGAGCCTGAGCGGTTACCTGGGAGCAGAGGGCGGGGAGGCAGGTGAGCCTGGCGGCGCCGGTTCCCACACTTCTCACCGCCGCTCGGCAGGGGAAGTGGCAAATCTGACAGCTGCGCTCTACGCGAGGACCTGCCCCAGAGTTTAAATGTCAATGATAAGAAAAGAGGGTGCTCAGGCAGGCGCTAACTTTCCTTAATATCCATGCCAGCGCGGTCCTCATTGGCTGACAGACCCGCGTGACGTCATGCAGCCAGAGTTGGGTTTAGCTCCGCGCAGACAAGCGCTCAGGCTCGGCGGGAGTCTGCTCCTCCCCACTCCGAGTCCGGCCTGCTCCTTGCCCTACAGTGGCCTTCCAGGGCCTGGGCCGTGGCTGCCCACGCCCAACATGGCCCCGATTCACCTCGCCCTCCTTTAGGGAGTAGTCAACCCCAAGGAAACTAGCCCTCTAAGAGTGCGCTAGTCCTCCCGGTCTGGCAAGCGGGTTCCTGCCCCTAGGCTGGCCAGCTACCTTTCCGGATGCCCATCGGGTTCCCTCCTTTGATTCCCGAGGGAGTCACTTCGTCGGAGGCACTCGGAGGCCGCGCCAGCATTGTGAGGGGTCTCTGGCAGGATTCGTTTTCTGGAGGCACTCGAGAAAAGATGGGTACCCCAATCTGGCCCTCGCGCCTACAAGTCACCAGCTGGACACAGACAGGGAGTCCGAGGACAGGACAAGCGATCCTTGCCCTGAGGCTAGGCCAAAGTCCTCTCTAACCTCACACTCTAACCTCTCTGGGTACGAGTGAAGGGATCCTCACACGGCGCCTGCCTGGGCTTCCCTCGCTCCCTTGAGCTGAAAGTCACATAGAAAATGCAGGTGGTTTTATTCATCTTTGACTTGGGGGTTAACTGTTGATTTTGTGGCTTACAGGAGGAAAATAGGGAAGTCCTAGATTCTGAAGTCAAGACTTCCCTTCCTAGAATGAAGAAACAGCAGAAATTGGGGAGGGGTCGGCAGAAAACTGGCCTAGTGGTCTGTGCTTGTTTTCCCCTCACACCCGCTGTGGACTGGGAGATGGCTTAGCGGAGCTAGGCCACGCTATCTTGGGATGGGGTCTTAGATCCACATTATCATTCTCCTTTCTTCCCTCTACTCCCCAAATAGGGGCGGGAGTTTCTCCATGTCCAATCCCTTCCTTTTCTGCCCTCATCCGTGTCTGGAACTTGGAAGTGACAGAGAGAGGTCCAGCCTGGAGGGGCAAGGGGTGCTTGATGATGTGGCAGGAGAAGTTGTGGAGCGTGGAATTGTCTTCAGGCAGTTCGTGAGAGGCTGAGCTCCTCTATTTCCGGGCGCATGTGTGTGGAGGCTCAGAGGGGCACTCGTGGTCGAGAGAGGGGCTACAGAGCCAGCTCCTGAGAACCCTGCTCGCATGCGGGCGGCGAAGGGAGAGAGGAGCACAGGTGGCACCGAGGCGCGAGAGGTCGAGCGGTTCCTGTTTGGCCGCCGGGACACCTGGACAGGTGTAGGACTTCGCAACCAGCCGGGATGCGACTCCAGGCAGCCCAACAGTCCGCTCCTTTTGGCCAGGCCAGCTCCCTGCCGTACTTGATTTTTTTTTCTTTTTTCAGCCCTTCGAGGCCCTGTGGGCTGGGTAGAGGTGGGGAGAATGGGAGCCTGTTGGAGGAGAGATCTAAGAGTGGTGTTCTTACTTATTTGCAAACGTTCCCCACACTTCTCCCCATCCCAATCCCCTGCTCTTCCTGTGTCTGAGGTAAGGAGAACCTACCACCCCACATGGCCGTTCTAATCTGGACCAGGATGTACTGTGGTTCTGGTTTCCCCAGCCAGTCTCCGCTGGGGAGTGGTGCTCAGGGAGGTGTTTTCTCTGCAGCCATCGGCCATCTTCCGTGACCTAGTTTCTTGGTAAGGGACCTAGCTCCCCTGCAGGATGTGGTCCAGCCCCTGGCCCCAGATGTCCTAAGATCTCTCTCACTCCACTGTCTGCCTTGGAGTTTGGACTGCGGATAGGCCCCGGGCCTGAGTAGGCCTTCCTAGCTCCCTAGTTTCTGTAGGCGGCTCGCTCCCCACCCGGCCAGACCGGAGGCCGCCAATAAGACTGCTCCGGTCATGTTTGGAGTCCAGGCCATTAAGTGTGCACGGATCCCTGCAACCCAGCAGGGTGCTCGAGAGCGACGCTGGAAACGCCACGGCCCCCGCCTGCTTATCTGGCAGTCAATAAAGGGCGCGCTAGGGCCGCGCAGGAGCTCTGGGCCGTGGAGGCGAGGCAGGGCTAGTAGCCCTTCCGAGCTCCCGGCCAACGCCGGAGCAGCTCTCCATTTGGCCCGGGGCACCGAAGGAAGGGCGGGAGGAAGCCCGCGCTGGGGTCGCCACCCGGGAGAGTACAAGCTGAGCCGCTGCCGATGTTCGGTATCCCGGGTAGCTTATGGCTGTGGAGAACTCTGGAGATCCTCCCAGAACCCCAGAGCCAGAGAGTGGGGGGTTGGGGGGATGAGGGGATTGGGGTGAAGGGTTGGGGGGTCGCTGCCAATCATGCCTACCACCAGCACTGTGGGCAGTTCAGCCTGAACTGGTCCCTCGTGGTACCCAGCCTGCGAGGCCTGGGCTTGTCCCGCCTGGGCATAAGCAGACTCTCTAGGCCGCACGAGCTAGCAGCTTGGGCAGAAGGGCACCGCCTGTGGCCCAGGGGAGTCATCGATGACTCGAAGCCGGGGAGGCAGAGTGCAACCTGAGGTTGGCTGCAGGTGGGGTGCAAAGGGGCCAGAAAGGGGAAAGAAATCCCTTTTCTTCCAGGCTTCCCCTCGGCTCAGGTTAGCCCAGACTGAAATTGTCCGACACTCAGGACAGTTCTAAGCTCCTATTCTCCACAGTAGCAGTGAGCAAGATGGACAGCCGCCCTTCCCGAGGGCTCCCTGGTCTGCTCCGCCTATGACTGAGGGGAGGCCCAGAGCTTTCCTTTTAGCCCAGACTGGAGAAGTGGGGAGTGGAGATGGGAGTGAAGGGCTTGAGGCAGGGGATACTGGTGGATGAAGGGAGGGTGAGGGAAGATTAGAGAGTGAGGCTTGGCTGGAAGAGGAGAAGGAGAAGGGAATGGAAGAGAGATCCGTCCTTGGCTGGAGCTGCAGCCTGAGATTGCTGTTCTTCTCCAAGGCATTTTCCTTTCTCTCTCTCCCACCCCTTACTTTATGCAAATAAAGCAGCTCCCAGATCTAGCAGAGCCCCTCCCGCCAGATTAAGTGCTAATGGGCAGGTGGGAGTTGAGTTAGTATTTGCGTTTTCACTGAAAATGGGCATTGGATCTTCCAACAATTCAGAAGTAGAAATGCAATAATGCAATTTTCCATTTCAGTATTTTTTTCATTTTAGTAAGTCTGACTATAATGCATCTTCTTAACTTCTGTTTTAAAAATAAATATTCCTGGTGGGTACTAATTTATAAAGGGTTT